GAGGCTAGCTCTTGTTTGGGAGATGGCAGAAGTTGATGAGAAAAGTAGCCTCATAATAGAAGGTGAGGGGTGTCAAGAATTTTCACATTGGACGAACTCATTGCTTTGTTCGTTATGCTGAATCAGTGGCCCAAGTTCTTGTTTTTGGTAACTTGTGCATTTGAGAACCTAGAAATTGCGAACCTCTATTGTGGGAGTTTAAAACGATGAAGAGCTTATAAGGCCCTGTTTGATAGGGTGACAATTACATGGAAAATAGAATTTGTTTTCCATTTTTCAATTTTTTGATTGTTTGATTGGATCTTTTTCTTGGCAATTAGAATTCTCACTTCCTCTCACACGGTCACAAATTCTTGATTTTTCTTGAATTCATTTTCCCACCACTTGGGTGGGAAAATGATTTTCCAGTGTTTTTTCTTTGCAATAGAAACAAATTTTAAGTGGAATTGTAACAAATTATATCTCTTTAATGAACAATTTTCATAAAAAACAAAGTCAAACGAATATCAAAAGATCCAAATTTTCAATATTTTTCAGGTGGAAAATTATACAAATTAAACACAACTAATTAACAATTTCTTAGAGAACAAGTTCTAGAAAATTCAATTCCCCGAAATTCATTTTCTTTTCACTCAAATTCCATTCTTGTAATTAAACGGATCCTTAGTCTCTCAAACTACTGCACAGTTACATAGATAAATTCATGTAAATCTCGATTTAGGTTGGAACTCAACAATCTGATATGGTTACTGTTTATGGCATGTTTGATAGATAATAATGAAAAAGAAAAATAGTCTTGTACATTTTACACTTTCCGGTACTGCGTAATACCCCATACCAATTAGGCACTTCATCAGATGCAAGACGTGCTTATGAACTTGCTTTCTGCCTCCATCAGTCACTGTGAAATGAAATATTAATTGTTTGCTTGTGAATAATTTGAGGTGGGCCAAACACTGTTGGAAAATTCCAACATGTGGAGCCACACATTTAATATATTAAAATATATAGTGCTATTGTTTAAAGAATATTAGTCAATTAAAATGATCCATTAAAATAAATTTTGACTAATGGGTATTAGGTTTCATAAAAATATAGTGTAGAAACCGGAATGTTGTTTTAAATTGATGAGGGGCCAATTTGATACAATTGAAAGATAATGACTATTCAGTTACTATTATCTTATATGGTTATGGTCTCAATTTGATGGTGTTCTTGAGATTCTCTGTATCCCCATCAAAAGAGAGTGAAATTGAAAAGAGGAACATCAATCAATTGAAAGATCATAACTTATTCAGGCCAACAATCAAACAATATGAATCGAGGTATGCATATGCTTCCGCTATTTTGTTATTTTCTATAGTTTCAACATGGAGTTTTATTTAGAGTTTATATGT